CGAGACACATCTCCGGTCAATAACCAATAGCGGAACCTAGATGTTCATATTGGCTCCCACATATTCTACAAAGATCTTTATCGGTCAAACCGCATAACAACATACATTGTTCCCTTTGTCATCGGTATGTTACTTGCCCGAGATTCGATCGTCAGTATCTCAATACCTAGTTCAATCTCGTTACCGGCAAGTCTCTTTACTCGTTCTGTAATGCATCACTCATTAGTCACATTGCTTGCAAGGCTTATAGTGATGTGCATTACCGAGAGGGCCCAGAGATACCTCTCCGAAACTCGGAGTGACAAATCCTAATGTCGATCTATGCCAAATCAACAAACACCATCAGAGACACCTATAGAGCATCTTTATAGTCACCCAGTTACGTTGTGGCGTTTGATAGCACACTAAGTGTTCATCCGGTATTCGGGAGTTGCATGATCTCATAGTCATAGGAACATGTATAAGTTATGGAGAAAGCAATAGCAGTAAACTAAACGATCATCGTGCTAAGCTAATGGATGGGTCAAGTCAATCACATCATTCTCTAATGATGCGATCCCGTTAATCAAATGACAACTCATGTCTATGGTTAGGAAACATAACCATCATTGATTCAACGAGCGTGTCAAGTAGAGGCATACTAGTGACACTCTGTTTGTCTATGTATTCACACATGTACTAAGTTTCCGTTAATACAATTCTAGCATGAATGATAAACATTTATCATGATATAAGGAAATATAAATAACAACTTTATTCTTGCCTCTAGGGCATATTTCCTTCACAGGCGCCTCGAGATGCTCGGGCTATGGGTCCTACATACCCGCGATGGAGCCACTTCCGCCCGCTAGTGATGACGAGGAGGTCATCTGCATCATCATCCGCCGCTCCTACACCTCGATGGAGAAGGACACCCGTCGTTAGCGCTAGAAAAATGTAGTGGCACACTGGATCGGGCTCGAGGAGTTCGAGTGGCTCACGAGCCAGAAGACAGTCGTCTGGCTCGCGAGGGAGCACACCCGTGCCGTCCGACGTATGGCCTAGATCATCTCCTCCTCTAATAGCGGAACCATGTTCGACAACGATGATGCTCCAACCTACGCCGAGGACAACCGCCGCTCCAGAGACCCCTAGGGGAAGTGGCCGATGAGGGAGTGGTGAATGGTGGCCCTCATGTCCTGTCTGCCACTTATAAAACCTTACACGCATCAAACATTGTTTTGCCTAGACTTTCTAAAGATAGTTTATATGTTTTAGAGAAAGCGAGTATGAAGTAGCAGTGGTAGGAATTGCGAAATTGTCCCTAGCAATTGGTTAAAATACTAGATTCATAATCATGCATTGCAATTTTATATGTGAGAGAGGACTATGCTAACATGCAACAAAGCCTATTGATAACATGTACTTATTGAAACCATAGCAAGCATCCGCAAACACAAAGAATTTATTAAGGTAAAACCCGACCATAGGAAACACAATGTTCATTTCTGTTATGGATGAAACCAAACCTTTTGATCACGTCAGCAAAGCAAGTGTTCCAACTCCTAGATGATTGCTTAGAAATACGATTGAGCTCCCACTAAACTTCTTGTAAACAAATGCTCATTTCCGTTTTGGATGAAATCAAACTAGGGATGGCAATGGGTCGGGTTTGGGGCGGGTGGAGCTGGTCCAAATCCAACCCATGACCCATCTTCCTATCCTCTACCCATCCATCAAATTATCCATGGGCACAACTTGTGCCCATGCCCAAACCTGCTGGATACCTACATACCCATGGAGCTCCATGGGCATAGAAAAGTTAGCATGAAGCCTTTCCAAAGATCAAATTAACTCATCATTATTCACTCACAAATGACAACATAAGCTACATCCATAAGTAGGTAACAAGTAATACGTTGAGTCCTTAAGTGTGACATACCAGAGATTGATTCTGCAGCATATAACTCATGGCACAAGTTGCATATTTCCCGCCATTTCCCATTGATTCGCTCTTTCTACTGTCATTGGCATATGGCCCCACATGTCATACGGGTATCCATTGGATATCCATGGAGCACAAACTATAACCATGCCCAACCCAGCTGTTCATGGGTATCCGTATCCACAGACCCATGGGCAGAAATGTGCTCCATACCCTTGCCCAACTGGGTCGGGTATCCATGGGTATCCAGATCCATGGATAAAATTGTCATCCCTAAATCAAACCCTTTGCTCACCTCACCAAAATGAGTGTTCTAGCTCCGAGATGCTTTCTTCAACCCATAAATGGATTTCTGAAGCTTACATACCTTACTTGCATCCTTTGGGTCAACAAAACTCTGGGGTTGCATCATATGCATCTTAGGTTATATTTTCATTAAAAAAGCCGTTTTGACATCCATCTGCCATATCTCATAGTCAAAATATGCATCTATAGCTATAATGATCCTAACTGATTTAGGCATTGCTACTATGAGAAAGTTGATGGGGAACGTTGCATGGAAAACAAAAAATTCCTACGGAACACCCAAGATCAATTATATGGAGATACTAGCAATGAGAGGGTAGTGTATCTACATACCCTTATAGACTGAAAGCGTTAACGATCTAATGATCGTGGTTGGTGTAGTCGTACTCGCGTCACGATCAAATCAGATCCAAGCACTGCATGAGCAACACCTTTGAGATGTGTGATTGCTTGTATTTGCGTTGGTATTTCCCCGAAGAGGAGTGGATGGTGCAGCACATCAAAGGTAAGTATTTCCCTCAGTTATGTAACCAAGGTTATCAATCCAGTAGAAGAACCAAACAACACTGTGTAAATAGCACATGCGCACAAACAACAAATACTTGCAACCCAACGCGTAAGAGGGGTTGTCAATCCCTCCTTGGTATTGAGATAGATTAGATTGTATGAGATTTGATAAATAGATCTAACTAAAACGCAAAATAAAAAATAAAGAAAAAAGTGAAGCAAGGTATTTTTAAATTTAATATGATAGGAAATTGTCCGAGGCGTAGTTTTCACTAGAGGCTTCTCTCGAGAAAATAGCATACTTGTGTAAACAAATTACTGTTGGGCAATTGATAGAAAAGTGAATAATCATGATGATATCCAAGGCAATGATCATGTATATAGGCATTACGTCCAAGATTAGTAGACCGACTCCTGTCTGCATCTAGTACTATTACTCCACATATCAACCGCTATCCAGCATGCATCTAGTGTATTAAGTTCATGAAAAACGGAGTAATGCAATAAAAACGATGACATGATGTAGACAAGATCTATTCATGTAGGAGTAGACCCCATCTTTTTTTCCTTAATGATAATGATGCATGCGTGTCATGTCTCCTTCTGTCACTAAGATTGAGCACCGCAAGATCGAACCCATCACAAATCACCTCTTCCCATGGCAAGAAACATCAATCTAGTTGGTCAAACCAAACCAAAATTTTGGAGAAGAAATACAAGGCTATAACAAAGATTCATGGATAAAACTGATCATAAACCCATAATTTATCGGATCCCAACAAACACACTGTAAAAAGGAGTTACATCAAATAGATCTAGGCTTTAGGGATCCGCCACAACCAGCCGGCCGACCACCTCCGGCAAAGAAGGAGGCCACCACCGCCAATCCCGGGGCGAAGCCCTCGGCTTCCTTGTGCTGCGGGACGAACCCAGGAGCCTGCGTTTTTTTTGCGTCTAAACACACTTGCTTTATTAATTGAGAATGTTCATCGGGATACAATTAAGATCTAGGGGGTTTAAGAGCCACATATGGCGCTCCGGGTCCAGACCAAAAGCATGCTTAGCGAGGCTATGTACCTCTTGATTCGAAAATCTGCCTTCAAAAATGAAGGCACAACTATGAAATTGAGTAACAGTAGCTCGAATTTCCTTCACGATGCTCGAGTTCATTCCACCAGTGCCAAGATTTCCTTCATGATGCTCGCGTTCATTCCACCAGTGCCAAGATTTATGTCCTGCACCGCATTCTTGCAGTCAGAAGCAACCACCACTTGATTTAGCGAGAGGTCCAGTGCTAGAGCCATTGCTTCTCGGCAAGCCAGCGTCTCCAGCGTTGTCAGGAGCTTGCGTGCCGTCGTCGGACGCAACAGGTACCGCAGCTTGGGTCGTGGCCCGTCCGAACCCATCTAAGTCCAGATCGGGCCCAACCACTCCCGCCACCGCCCGCTAACCTTCGCGTCGTTGCCGCCGCAAGCTTGCCGATCCTGGCAATAATCCTATGCGACCTGGGTCGCACGCCCTGACCGTGAGACCTTATTCAGCGGATGACACTTGGCAAACCCGAATCTCAAAACACGTAGGCCATTAATCCTCTGCTTCCATTAACTTTCGCAGCGAGGCGTGAAGTTCGGGTAGGAGGATTGAGGAAGAAGGAGTGCATCAAGATTGGTGAAGTACACGTGGCATCCTCTGGAGTGGGTCTTACGAGATGAAGCGTGAGACCAGGTTGTATAGGATTATTTTCCGGCCGCTGTCGCCACCCCACATCGCTGGCTCGCTGCCTCTGAACGGCCGGAGCCAGCATCGCCCCTGCGATCCCGAACTTTGGCCGAGGAGATCTGCCGCCGCGGCCGCGCCACACGGGCTTTGACCGGCGGCGGGATGGGAGAACTTGGCGCGGAGGAGGTCTACAGATGGCCGGCGGGTGCGCCCCGGTGCGGCCTCACAGGAGCGAGTTAATTGTTAGGCAAAGCGGAACTTGGCTAGGAAGAAACGGCCGCAAAGCTGGGTTGTAATCGTGACAGAACAGAGGTGTGGGAGGATGGGTAGATAGCCTCTGCTAACATTTCGCCATGAAATTGAGCTGTGATCTTCCGATCCGAGTTCATAGTTAGCCAATTAGATCGTGCTGCTAACAGTATACGTTGCTGTATGTACAGAGAACCAACTAGAACTAGACAAAAAGGTCGACCAAGTCTGATGACCTGAAAGAGATGCCAACCACCAAAATGCATAAGACACGAGACGACGATCGAATCGCCGATCACCATGGCGCGGCCGCCAGCTGCAGCATAGCATGGCCCCTCCTCTTCTCCGCGATCTCCTCCATCTCCATGTCCATATCCTTGAGAGCATCCTTCAGGCTCGCCATCTTCGACTCGAGGGCCTTCACCTTCTCTGCTGCACGAGCACGCTCCAGCTTCACCTCCTCGTACCCCTCCGGCAGATGATCATCCGATGACCGGGCGTCAAGGAGGAAAAGGAGCTCATCGAGGCGCTTGCGTATGAAGCCCACGTCCATTCCCAGCAGCTCGAAGGACTCTAGGGTCTTCTTCCACGCCGCGAGGTCCTCGCAGGAAGAGCAGGAGGAGGGATAGGACCTGATGCCCTCAGCGATGCTGGCCGTCTCTACTATCACCCCTGCTGCTAGCGTCAGGTTTATGTGCTTCGGCAGACGCCTGTGGAGGAACGCCTTCCGGTCGCCGCAGAGCTTGTAGTACGTCCAAAGCAGGCGATCAGGGACTAGTTTGCGGTCGATGACAGAACTGTCGATGACCATCTTGAAGGCTCTGAATGTTTTCACGGCGTCGAAATCAGGGTCTGGATCTGGGGATCTGATGCCTCCGTTTGCTGCTGCTTCACTAAAAGGGTCGTTGCTATCGTCATCGGATGCTTTGTTGGTGATGACTTTGGTGACTTCTGGATCCTCCTTGGACTTGACATCTTCATCAGAAGTATCTTCTCCTCCTTTTTCTGCTTCACAAAAGACAACACATGATTAGAAAGATTTCATGATATTGCAATATGAAGATGATGATACTTTTAACTCACCGGGCATGTTGTTTTCCATGGACGTGTCTAAACTCAGGAGACTGAGTGCTCCATCGGTTGTAGTGAACTTACTCTCTCTCAGTATATACACCTGTAAACAACAGTCGATGGTCCAACGTATCACTATCAATATCATGAAGAGGGTAGTGCTCCTTGCATACACACAAAAAATATGATGGAATAAAACATTGACGAAGCACTCACCTTGAATCTTGTTTGTTCCACGAGTTGAAAGACCACGGCATCGCCGACCTTAAGATGATGTCGTGTTGCAAATCTACTCCACCCACCACTGAGGCCCTGCTTGCGCGCTAGATAATTTGTATCAAACCGGAGGCCATCCTCATCTTCTAATACAATTGTAACATCATGGTTTGGAAGATGCTCTCTGCAAAAGCTAACCGGGACACCCTGGGAGGAAGACAAAAGTCAAATGCAAAGGAAGCAAAATACAAAAAGCTAAATTGATCAGTGACACTCGCTTCTCCGCTCCTCTCTCTAAAAACATGAATGCCATGAATCAGTGGCACGCTCTGAATTTGCAGTTGCGTCTTCTGTAGATATTTAATTGCCTTGTAAATTAAAATTCTTACAGGAAAACACAAACTGAGTGTTGCCTATACGGAAACATTACCGGATTCTTGGCATTGGACAAACATTCAAACACCTAATAAACAGGGACTTACCAGCCAAAAAACCCTTACAACATGTGATATCTGCATAAGCTTGACGAAGCTCGGACCTTCTGCTGGCAATTTCTTTTCTACCTCCAAAGCTCTGTCAAAAGCAGTGGCATAGAAGCCCAAAACACTATAGCTTGTTTGAAGATTCATGTGCATTAGTCATGTACACACACTTGACAGCTTTTGAACACACACTACTGACGAGAAACAACAAAAGTTGAAATGGACAGACCCAGTGCATAGAAGCTCCCACACAAGGTGGGGTCTGGGGAGGGATTATAGGAACCTAGTCTTACCCCTGCAAAGTGCAATGCAGAGAGGCTGGTTCGAACCCAGGACCTCTTGGCACAAGTGGGGAGGACTTCACCACTGCGCCAGGCCTGCCCTCAAACAACAAAAGTTGAAATACCTTGCATATTTCTTCTGGCCATCATCATCAGATATCTGGCAAGTCATAAGTTGTTCACAGTTAGTCTATAGCCCAAATAAGAATTTTGACTACACCCTCCACATTAGAGAATATAATATACATATCGGTCTACTTATACTCAATTATAGTATAATATTTTTTAAAAGGGTATGATACATCAACAAGCGATTTCGTACGACCTTACCTTACTAATGTTGTTGCTGCCAACCAATCTTGGCTTCTTCTCTATCTTTCTCTTGGCATATACTGGACCTGCTGACCTCCCTGTCTTCTTCCTCTGAAATTAAAGTAGCCCACCAAAACAGAGCAATGAATTCAAAATATGTTTATATAGGTGATTGAATATAACAAATAATCTGAGTTGTGAAATTTTTGGATGAGCCAAAATCAAGTATTGTGAGTTCATTTTTTTTCCCTCGGACATGGATCAAAATTTGTATCGTTATGTATTAGAAGAAAGAAAACCAAGAAAACACAATACTTACATGGCTGCAAACCAACTAAGCCAAAAATTCCAAGAAACTCTACACATAATAGAACTATTATTGGTAAATAAAAATCCAGAGAGCAGTAAAAAAAGCCAAAAGAAGCAAAGAAAAACTACTCTAACACTATCCAACCATAGGAAGCATCTTGAATTCATAATATATTTGTTCGCAATTTATTTATTTGTTCATATCATACACACACACACACACACACACACACACAGGGATGGAATAAGTCAGTGTATCTTACTTTATAAGTTTTATTGATAGTTCTCTGGGCTTTGTGTTTATATCGGAAGCCGGGATGCTTTCCAGGCTCACTCTTCACATTCTTGGTTCTCATCATCTGCCATAATGAGGTTACATCAATAACTTACATGTTTGTATTTTATGAAAATTACGATCGAGATGGAAATGAAAACGAGGAAGTGATGTCAGAATTATGTTTTCACTAAAATTGATGTTGTGAATGGGTCCATGTGTGGTGTAATTGGTGCATGTACAAGAGAACTAAAGCAATAAAACACTCACTATCAATGGAACAAAGTCATCCCCGCTACCATCTGGATCATCGCTGTCATCAACTGCCGTATTCTTCTGAGCAACATCAACAGTGAACTCCTCACCCTACAATTGCCAAATTTTTATTATCGCATCTCGAGAAGTTCAAAATTAGTAAAGATAAAAAAAATGGAGTGAAGTGCATCCTAGGTCCTCGAACTATTTCAGAGGTGCATCCTAGGACCTACATGACACCTCTGAAATAGTTCAAGGACCTATGTGACACCTCTGAAATAGTTCGAGGACCTAGATGACGCACATTGCACTTTGAGAACCTGGATGATGATTTTCATAGTTTGAGGACCTATGTGACGCCTCTGAAATAGTTCAAGGACCTATAGGATGCACTTCACACAAAAATGTATATATAATATACTAGCTTAATAACATGGAGGCTGCTGTGCGGTCACTGTGTACTTGTACTAGTCGCTGCAGTACTAATGAGCGCTACATGGAAAAACATAAGCAGTTAATTTTCAGTTTGTCTGATGGTTCCACAAGGTAAGCATGACCGAAGATTCAGAAGAAAAGAGAGAAGGCAAATGAAATGGTTGACAAAAAAAAAGAACTGAATTGACCTCATAACAATCTCAGTACTTGAGGTTTTCCAATGCTCGATTCATCGACCGGCCAACCAACCAACTAACTGATAAAAGCGACTTCCTATATTTATTCGAGTTGATATATGAGAACGTGCATTTGATACTCTGAATCCTGGAAGAACAGGGGTGCCTTAAATGCAGGAATGTGAAGTCAGATGGTTCCATTAAGGTTCTTACCATCTGCTCAGAACCACCACCATCATCATCAGCCGCAGCAGCAGCAGCAGCAATGTGTCTACTGATTCTACTGCCATCGTCAAGCAAAGAGAGCCTTCGATGCGCCAATGACATTTTCTGTCCCATCTTGGTCCTGGCAGAATGGGGGGAATCACCCGCTGGCGTCCCTCCCATAGCCTGGAAATTCGTCACACAACCAATGCAGAGTAATTGTTATGCGCGTACATGAACAACAATCAACCAATGAATCATTTTAGTACTTATACTGAATCTCAACTAGTGATCTAGCAGTAAGTAGTACAGGACCAAAACAAAACACATATATAGTTTCAGATAAAGGCTAATGAAATGCTGACACAAAAGGCTACTGAAGTGGCCTCATAGCAGGCTCAGCCTAGACTCCCCGATAAAACTAGAACACATTCAGCAACACATGTCAACAATGTATTGATCATAAACCATGAGTTCCGGTATCAAATAAATGGACCGACAGACAAAATACATGCAGTTGATATACTCTGAAGCCTGGAAGAACAGAGGTTCCTGAAATGCAGCAATGTGAGATCAGATGGTTCCACAAAGGTTCCCACCGTCGGCTCAAAATCAATCAATAATTTTGTCACCAAATGTCATCTACTCCCTCCGTTCCTAAATATTTGTCTTTATGAATATTTCAACAAGTGACCACATACAGAGCAAAATGAGTGAATCTGTACTCTAAAATATGTCTACATACATCCGTATGTGCAGTCCATTTGAAATGACTAGAAAGACAAATATTTAGGAACGGAGGGAGTAGTGATTTACCAACAATAGAAGATTAAGAATCAACAGAGAAAGCCTGAAACTGAAATGCGGCAATGTGAGCTCAGATGGTTTCAGACAGGTTCTCACCGTACGCTCAAAATCGTCGCCGCCGCCGTCTTCGTTTCGGCTGCTGCTGCCTTCATCAAGCAAAGAGCGCCTTCGATGGACCATCTTCTGCCCCGTCTTGGACTTGGCAGAGTGGGGAACACCCGCTGGCGTCCCTCTCTTGCTCTGCGAATTAGTCAGGCAACCGATCAATAATTCTGTCACTACCAAATTTTATCTAGTGATCCACGGTGAAAATTAGTCAGGCGAAGCAAAATCTCCCGCGGTGAAAAAGCGGATCGAAGGGTGGCGCAGACTTTAGAAAAGCCCTAGCAGCAGCTGGATATTATATGCAACCGGAGAAAACGATGGGGGCTTTTTTCTTCTTCTTCTCAAGAATCAATCACCTCCCTCTCTGTTTCTATTTGCAAACACCCCATGAATAAATCAACCAAATTAACAGGAGGAGGTAATCACTGGAAAGACAAAAATAGCATGAAGAAATCCTACAATAAAAAAATGAGTTGAGTGGGGTAGAGAAGCAGATGATGGTGGGAGCTGGAGCAGAGGAGGAGGGGGAGGGGAGGTGGGGGGCTTTACTTTGTTTTGCTCGTCGATCGCCATGGCTGGCTGGCCGGATGCACTTACTTCGGGAGCTCCGATGGGTGGAGTGAGTGTGAGTGTGAGCCAGAGGAGGAGGAAGAAGGGATTATACGCACACTGGTAAATACTAGAGATACGCGGCGTCTTACACGTGTACAGCTCCCAATTATTACCACCGTCTTACTGCTCCGTGGTGTACTTCATGTTGTCCAACATGCAAACAATCTTTTTAGCAAACTTAAGTCCTCATATTTTTTCTTTCTGAAAAGAAACACCGGAGCCATATTATGGATAAAAATGATTCGACCCCTTGCATCTTCATCCATAGGGTATCTGGGGGCAACTAGGGTTCCCAAGCCACCCTCTCCTCCACCTCCTCCATATCCCTGATGGCCGTCACTAGAGGAGGACAACGGGAAAGGCTGACGGGCGTGGTGAAGGTGGGAGGGAGGCTCACGTTGATTTGTTTCTCATGTTGATGGCATCGGACGCCAGGGCGGCAGCCCCGGATGGTGAGACAGCAGGCGTGCCCCGCAGATGCTGGTGGCCGGATCCCTCAGTCCCATGGGCGGTGAGGTGTCGGTGGGCGGTTGTCGAGGCAAAGGGCCTTCTTCGGCTTTCGCCTCCAAATATGAAGGTACAGCCCCTTCTGCCTCTCTGGATCGCTCCTCCTTGTCAATACTGGTGCAGAACGGCCTCGGTTGCATGCCCTCTTGTTGGAGAGGTGATGACGGTTCTGGCTCTGAGGGAAACTCCTGAATGGATGGTTCAAGCATGGCAGCGGCAACACCCAAGGGTGACACTTTCCTTCCTCGAGGAGTTGTTGAAGACGCTTCCGCCCACACTAAGTCACTTTCCTGAGTGAAAACTTAAAATCCATTATGGATTGGTCAGCGACGACGTTGCTAGCCGTCTGGGCAAGGTTGGTCTTGGACGAGTGATGTCATTGTGTGGAGATGTCCGGTTGCTTTGAGTTTCAAGCGGTGGTGGCGAGCGATGCTTTTTCTTGCAGGCTAGGCGCTTTCTCTTTGATGGTGCTCTCTAGTATGGTGTGTGTTGTAATGTCATTTGGTCTGTTTCAACTCCTCCTCGAAAATAGAAGAGGCTAGGATTTCATCACGTGTGTAGTGTCGTTTCGTGTAGGTCTTGGTTCTTGTGTCCTAGTGGTGACATAAATGAGTCCCTTTGCCCCCCAAAGGTGTTCACTCTGACACCAGCAAACAGGTGAGTGAGTGGTCTCAGGGATCTAGACGACCAAGTCTATTAGGTACTCATCAACCAGACAGGAATTACACAAGACCAACAAGAAAAAACAGTTGAACGATACAATAAGCTGATAGAGCAGCTTCTAGCACAACACATGAAGAAATCACAAAAAGAGAGAAAAAATGAAAGCATAGCTTGAAAATGGTGCTGCCCACCACACTCGGGAACCTAAAACAGAAAATATAAGAGAACAGTGGATTAGCCGACTACCACTAGAAGAACACATGCACGAAAGCTCCACCGTGCTGAGAAGACACAACTCCTTCCTACTCAAATGCCGAAGAGGGACCTACTCTGCCATCTTGGCTAGAGGACGCCACACCGTCGACTTGAAGAGGCCTCACCCGAGAGCTATGAAAGGAGCCGGCTTCGCGACCACACAGAAAGTGTTGGGGAACATAGTAATTTCAAAAAAATTCCTACGCACACGCAGAATCATGGTGATGCATAGCAACGAGAGGGGAGAGTGTTGTCTACGTACCCCTCGTAGACCGTTCGCGGAAGCGTTATATCAACGCGGTTGATGTAGTCGTACGTCTTCATGATCCGACCGATCCAAGTACCAAAAGCACAGCACCTCCAAGTTCTGCACACGTTCGGCTCGGTGACGTCCTCGCCTTCTCGATCCAGCAAGAGGGGCGAAGTAGTAGATGAGTTCCGGCAGCACGACGGCGTGGTGATGGTGTTGGTGAAGAACAATCTCCGCAGGGCTTCGCCTAAGCACTACGAAAACTATGACGGAGGATAAACTAGAGGGGACGGGGTTGCCGGCACACGGCTTGGTGTTTCTTGATGTGTCTTGGGTGCTAGCCCTGCCCCTCTATTTATATGTTGAGCCTTGGGGTCGAAACTTGGAGTAAAAGCCTCCACAAAGTCGGTTTCACCCGAAAGGCAAGAGTCCTTCTCGGACTCCAGGGCTAGAAGCCAGGGTTCCCGGCGTCTGAACCCAGACGCCAGGGACCCTAGCATCTGGCCCCTGGACTCCGCAAAACTTTCTTTTGCGCTTTCCAAAAACCACATGGGTTTCCCCTTTGGCCCAGATAAAGTGTTCTCGTGCCCAAACATTTTGGGAAACTTCCGGAACCCCTTCCGGTGAATTCCGGAACCCTTCCAGAGATCAAACACTACTATCCACATATCAATATTTACTTCCGGACCATTCCGTAGTTCCTCGTCATATCCGTGATCTCATCCGAAACTCCGAACAACATTCGGTCACCAACATACATAACTCATAGTACTATATCGTCAACGAACGTTAAGCGTGCGGACTGATACGTCTCCGTCGTATCTATAATTTTTGATTGTTCCATGCCAATATTCTACAACTTTCATATACTTTTGGCAACTATTTATACTATTTTTGGGACTAACATATTGATCCAGTGCCCAGTGCTAGTTGCTGTTTCTTGCATGTTTTTTGTTTCGCGGAATATCCATATCAAACGGAGTCCAAACGGGATAAAAATTGACGAAGATTTTTTTGGAATATATATGGTTTTTCGGAAGAAAAATCCACGCGAGACGGTGCCCGAGGGGGCCACGAGGCAGGGGGCGTGCCCCTGACCCTCGTGGCCATCCCGTAAGGCGGTTGGTGCCCTTCTTTCGCTGCAAGAAAGCTAATATCCGGATAGAGATCGTGTTAGAATTTCATCCCAATCAGAGTTACGGATCTCCGGAAATATAAGAAACGGTGAAAGGGTAGAATCATGGAACGCAGAAACAGAGAGAGACAGAGAGACAGATCCAATCTCGGAGGGGCTCTCGCCCCTCCCATGCCATGGAGGCAAAGGACTAGAGGGGAAACCCTTCTCCCATCTAGGAAGGAGGTCAAGGAAGAAGAAGACGAAGGGGCCCCCTCCCCCTTTCTCTTCCGGTGGCGCCGGAACGCTGTGTGGCCATCATCATCATCACCGCGATCTACACCAACACCTCCGCCATCTTCACCAACATATCCATCACCTTCCCCCCTCTATCTACAGCGGTCCACTCTCCCGCAACCCGCTGTACCCTCTACTTGAACATGGTGCTTTATGCTTCATATTATTATCCAATGATGTGTTGCCATCCTATGATGTCTGAGTAGATTTTTGTTGTCCTATTGGTGGTTGATGAATTGCTATGATTAATTTAATTTTCTTATGGTTATGTTGTTGTCCTTTGGTGCCCATCATATGAGTGCGCGTGTGGATCACACCATAGGGTTAGTTGTATGTTGATAGGACTATGTATTGGAGAGCAAGAGTGACAGAAACTTCAACCTAGCATAGAAATTGATGCATACGGGATTGAAGGGGGACCAATATATCTTAATGCTATGGTTGGGTTTTACCTTAATGAACGTTAGTAGTTGCGGATGCTTGCTAATAGTTCCAATCATAAGTGCATAGAATTCCAAGTCAGGGATGACATGCTAGCAGTGGCCTCTCCCACATAATACTTGCTATCGGTCTAGTAAAGTAGTCAACTGCTTAGGTGCAATTTCACAACTCCTATCACTACTTTTCCACACTCGCTATATTTACTTTATTGCTTCTTTACTTACAACAGCCCCTACTTTTTATTTACTTGCTCTTTATTATCTTGCAAACCTATCCAGCAACACCTACAAAGTACTTTTAGCTTCATACTTGTTCTAGGTAAAGCGAATGTCAAGCGTGCGTAGAGTTGTATCGGTGGTCGATAGAACTTGAGGGAATATTTGTTCTGCCTTTAGCTCCTCATTGGGTTCGACACTCTTACTTATCGAAAACTGTTGCGATCCCCTATACTTGTGGGTTATCAAGACCTTTTTCCGGCGCCCTTGCCGGGGAGCAATAGCGTGGGGTGAATATTCTCGTGTGTGCTTGTTTGCTTTATCACTAAGTAATTTTTATTTTCTATTCTTAGTTGTTTTCTATCTTTAGTTATGGGTAGGAAACGCAAAATACCAAAAAAAATAGTTGTACCTACTAAACCAATGATTGAAGAACCACTCAAAATATATCATACTACTGGAGCTTATTACTTGGATCATCTTCGATCCCTATGTGCTCGTGCTGAAATCCCAACTAGCTTAGTTGAGGGCAAATCTTTAGATGAGCATGCTTGTTATGTGCGACACCGAATATCTGAAAAAGGGAAAAATTTACCGGGTCAAATTCATCGTTTGCAATTCTATGCTTGGAATTTATGTGAAATATATGATATTACTTGTTGTTCTGAAAACCCTAAGAAAACCCTATCAATGTGAGTTTAGTGATAATGGAATCGTATCTTCGTATGCTAAGGGTGTTTATAGTTATAATGATGTTCAACAAATTGAAGAATTTATTGCTTTTAAGGGTGCTTATGAAATTGCTTCTTTGATTGAAACGTATGATGCTACTCATTACAAATCTGAAAATTTTGACATACTTAAATATTGCTATGATAATTATGCTTCTAATGCCTATGTTGAACCATATATTGAGGACTACCCCGCTGTTCAAGAAGAGACTAATATTTTGCAGGAGTCTATGGAAGAATAAATTGATGAAACTGTGAGCTCATTGGATGAAAAAGATGAGGAGGAGAGCGAAGAAAAAAGGAGGAAGAGCGGATTAGCTACCCGTGCCCACCTTCTAATGAGAGTAACTCTTCAACTCATACATTGTTTAATTTCCCTTCGTGCTTACCGAAGGATGATTGCTATGATGATTGTCATGATCCCGTTAATTCTCTTGAAATATCCCTTTTTGATGATGCTTGCCATGCTTGTGGCCAAGATGCCAATATGAATTATGCTTATGGAGATGAACTTCCTATAGCTCCTTATGTTAAACATGAAATTGTTGCTATTGCATCCACACATGATAGTCCTATTATCTTTTTGAATTCTCTCGACTACACTATATCGGAGAAGTTTGCCCTTATTAAGGATTATATTGATGGGTTGCCTTTTACCGTTGCACATGATGATTTTGATAGATATAATATGCATGTTCTTGTTGCTCCTACTTGCAATTATTATGAAAGAGGAAATACATCTCCGCCTCTTTATGTTTCCAATACAACAAAATTGCAAGAAACTGTTTATACTATGCATTGGCCTTTAATTTGTGTGCATGAATTGTTCTTTTATGACATGCCTATGCATAGAAAGAGAGTTAGACTTCGTCATTGCATGATATATGTTACTTTGTGCTCAGTACTAAATTACAAATCATTGTTAATTAAAATTGGCTTTGATATACCTTGGGATCCGGGTGGATCCATTACTTGAGCACTATATGCCTAGCTTAATGGCTTTAAAGAAAGCGCTGCCAGGGAGACAACCCGGAAGTTTTAGAGAGTCATTTATTTCTGTTGAGTTCTTTCATATAGTTTAAAAACAACAAAAATAAAGAGGGGAACCCAAAACTTTTTTAAAAAGGAAAGTGAAAGTGAGAAAGACAAACATTGTTGAAGTGGGAGAGCTCCTTGAACTTTGTTCATGCTCATGGCAACTTTGTGAATCTTGATTACAGAAAATTTTCAACAAAAATAATTATCCCCTTGTACAATTCCATTGTATTATAAAAATAATGTGCCAAGGTTTGCCTTTAGGATGTTTTAGATGCTTGTTGGTTTGTATGGTGCAGGACAGAAACTTTGGCTGTAGTGTGTGATTTTACATTTTTAGATGGAACGTCAAATGGTTCTGATTCTTTTTGCACTGTCTTTCTATACAATTTTTTTATTTTTCCTAATTTTGGCAGAATTTTTAAAGTATCATAAGTATGGTAAATGTTCAGATTATTACAGACTGTTCTGTTTTAGAAAGATTCTGTTTTTGATGCATAGTTTGCTTGTTTTGATGAAACTATCGATTTATATCAGTGGATTAAGCCATGGAAAAGTTATATTACAGTAGAAACAATGCAAAAACAAAATATGAATTGGTTTGCAACAGTACTTAGAGTAGTGATTTGCTTTACTATACTAACGGATCTTACCGAGTTTTCTGTTGAAGTTTTGTGTGGATGAAGTGTTCGATGATAGAGAAGGTCTCGATGTGAGAAGAAGGAAGAGAGGCAAGAGCTCAAGCTTGGGGGTTCCCGAGGCACCCCAAGTAAATATTCAAGGAGACTCAAGCGTCTAAGCTTGGGGATGCCCCGGAAGGCATTCCCTCTTTCTTCAACAAGTATCGGTATGTTTTCGGATTCGTTTCGTTCATGCGATATGTGCAATCTTGGAGCGTCTTTTGCATTTAGTTTTCATTTTTATTTTATGCACCATGCTGGTATGAGATAGTCCTTGGTTGATTTATAGAATGCTCTATGCACTTCACTTATATCTTTTGAGTATGGCTTTATAGAATGCTTCATGTGCTTCACTTATATCATTTGAAGTTTGGATTGCCTGTTTCTCTTCACTTAGACAACCGCCATTTGTAGACTGCTCTTTTGCTTCACTTATATTTGTTAGAGCGTGGGCATATCTTTTGTAAAAAGAACTAAACTCTCTTGCTTCACTTATATCTATTTAGAGAGATGACAGGAACTGGTCATTCACATGGTTAGTCATAAAATCCTACATAAGAC